CATCCCTAGTTTATTTTTTTATTTAGATACTAGAGAGGCCCAGTGCACAAAATTCGTGCACTGGGGGTGCGGGGGCCGGGGGGAGCTCAGCCTGGCCTGTGCCCTCTCACAATCTGGGACCCCTCGGGTAGAGTTGCTAGGCCTGGCTGGCAATCAGGGCCTATCAGGGCTTTCATTCTCCTGGCTGCCGGCAGCTTGCCCTGCCCCTGCTGCTGCCAGTGCTTGCCATCTATGCAGCGCTGCTCCCCCCCACCACCACCAGTTGCCTCCCTCTGCGGACGACCCTCTGTGGATGACAGGCGTGGGTGCAATCTCTGTCCAGCTCTGCACACCCACCACAGCGTCACTGGCTGGTGTCCTGGGCCTCCTTCTTTGGGGTGATCTATTGCAGGGCTCCCCGATGGATCACCCAGCAGAGGGAGGTCCTACCCATCAGGGCTCTGTGATCAAATGCCGTGCAGAGGTTGGCCTGAGCCTCCCTCTTTGGAGCGATCAATTGTGGAGTCTCCCCATTGATTGCCCCGCAGAGGGTGGCTGGGGCCTCCCTCTGTGGGGCGATCCTGTGGCAATGCCAGGGCCCCCCAACCAATCGTATTGCACCCACCTTGGCTGGTCTGGTGCCAGTGCATGTCATAGTGTGGTCATCCAGACAGTTGTTCTGCTGTTCAGTTGTTCGGTCATTCAGTTGATTTGCATATTACGCTTTTATTATTATAGATAATTGACATACATTATAGTTGTTTCAGTTATAAAACATGATTCTATATTTGAATATATAGAGAAATGATCATCACACAGTTATAAAATGTTTTTACTTGTGATGAGAACTTTTAAGATCTACTCTCTGCAACTTTCAAATATACACTATAGTACTGTTAACTTTAGTCACCATGCTGTACATTATATCTCTAGGGATTTTTTATTTTATAAATGAAGTTTGTACTTTGACCACCTTCACCCATTTATTTTTATCTATACCTTTTATTTGAAATGCTATGTATTTTAGTTATTTAATTTATTTATTGTTTCACTTTCTGGTTAGAGGGGAGGGGAATTTACCAATTTTGTTCTCTGCTGTTTCTTCAATATCTTGAATTTGTAAAAATTTCTAATTGTTAACATTTTTCTCAGAGCTGGCATTGGACAACCTTAATTTATTGCTAATAACCCCTATATCTTTCAAGGTATTTCTTCAGTTTTACATGAATAAAAAGCCCTGATTGTATTCTAGTAATTTTTACATTTTTAAGGTATGCTTGAGTTTCTCAGCAAAAAAGGATTATTATAGTAATAAAAGCTCTAGGCTTTTACCAAGGGGAATAAGAAATGTGATAAGGTTTTTTCCAAAGCAACAAAAAGTTTTTCTGATTAAATACACTGAGGGCTTCTCCTTATCAGACTGGAATATCTAACCAAATTGCTGAGGGTCCCCTCACAAAGAGAAACGCCTTAGAGTATCATCACAGAGAAGTCTGCCTATTCAATTAGAAGGTAATTTCTACCACTGTTTTTCTTTAGGTCGTCCAGCTTCAGGATGGATGGTGACCTTCCAAAAAAGTAAAAAGATGGAAAATCATCAAAATTACCATAAACTACTGCCAACGGAATGTTTCTTTGTAGCATGTGCGGAGTGGAGGGAAATCATATTCCTGCATTATATAATCTACCAACAGCCTACTTACCTACAGTCTTCTTAATATACATTATTCTTGAAAGCAGAGCCTGAGACCGAGGCAGACATATTCTATTTGGGAATGTAATCCCAGGGAGCAGGAACGAGAGAGAGGAGTGAGATGGGGGAAGGGGAGAGAAAATTCAAGCAAAATAAGGTAGTGTTATCAAGTGTCCACCACTATTAACAGTTTCTTAGTGAAGAACCTTCTCAGGATTCTTACTAAATTTTGTGTTGGAACTGTCTGCCTGAGGGTTGACAAAGAAAAGCATTTCTCTCTCCGCACCCATCTCCTGCATGTTGAGAACTGCTCCCATTGGTGTTAATTCCCCAAGCCCTGTGGTTGCAAAGCTGGGAGAACCTCACTCATTGCCACATCAGAGAAGCCTTGAGACAGGAAGCCAGATCCTTGGTCCAAGCTTGAGTGAGGCACTGTCAGCACAGAATAGGGGGAAACCTGCCCAGACTGTTCACCAGAGTGGTAGCTGGAATTGGAGGTTAAAGAGATGTGAGACAGTGCACAGCAGATATCGTATAAACGTACAGATTGTGCTTTTAGCTGTGTCCAAATCTATTTTCTCTTTTCTATAATCAAAATGTCAGTGTCCAGAACAATTCTGGCAGAAGGGTTAAATGAAAAGGTTAAATGTGTTAGAATATGTACATTAATAACAGTTTTAACCTTGAGGGATTTTTGTAGGAAATAGAACACAAACATGCGAAATACAACATGAGAACTTGGAAAATAAAAAATTATATATATTGTACTTGAAAAATTAGACTATTGAATAGAGATACTAGATATCTTCTAAACTCATGTAATCTCAGAAAACAATCATGACTTGTTTGGAGAAATAAAATGAACCTTTTGTGTGTCTCCATGGGTTTTATAAATCAATGTCATTAACTTTTCCTAAGATAGTGTTGTCTACTGTCACATAGCATTAACGATATAGAGCTTACAACCAATGAAAGAAAATCGGTAGAAACACAAGAAGGAAAAATATTGGGATAATTTCCATCACATAAAGGGTTGGCATTAATATTGGTTGGAATAGGGGGAAATTGCATGCTTTGATTCAAGCTTCCTGTATGAGGTTCCACCTTACCAAAAATAGTTTTTTTCTTGTAATATCCTCATCATCCTTTCTTATTTGATCTGGAATTGCCATCAATAGGATAAAACCTTTGAGTTATTCAATTCAGTATGTGTTGAGCTACCATTTGTTATGTATAGGCACTATACATTTGAATAAGATCCTAATATATAAAAACCCTGGGTCCATAATGACCGGAGGCTCGACCAACCGCAAGTCAGTCCTGTAGTCAGCGCTGGGTTGCTGTGGCGACCTTCACAGCCACTGCCACATGCTGTGGTATAAAACACAGTGTGCAAGTGATCAGAAGTGCAGGCACCACCTCCATGACACCCCCCCACACTTCCATCTGTCCCACCAGCCCTGAGGTGCCCTCCCCGAGCTGTTTCCGGCCAGGGCAAGGCCTGAGGGAGGAACCCACTCTCAGAGCACCTGGAGCACCCAGAGGCAGATTACTAAGAGAAATTAGGAATTTGAATGTTGCATTTGGTGGGAAAGTTCTCAGAGGGGATTTTTGACAATGTCTCAGTGTTGTGCCACATGCTATGCGATCGGCCATAGTACAAACGAGTTTAAAGTACTGTAATGGGGATGTTTCAGAAAGTTGTCTCTTAAAACAAATATAAAAACAGAGGATTCTACTTATAGTAAATAGTTAGTAAAATTGGGAGATGGCAAACTTGATAGCAGTCTTTATTTTATTTTATTTTTTTTTAAAATATATTTTATTGATTTTTTACAGAGAGAAATAGTTAGAAACATTGATCAGCTGCCTCCTGCACACCTTCTACTGGGGATGTGCCCACAACCAAAGTACATGCCCTTGACCGGAATTGAACCTGGGACCCTTCAGTCCTCAGGCCATCGCTCTATCCACTGAGCCAAACCAGTTAGGGCGGTACTAGATTTATTATCAAAAGATTGCACCCTAACATTATCGAAGCTGAAATATTAACAGGATCTACAGAAGGAGAGGTTCTGATTTGAAGAATTGATTTGTCCCCATCTAACACTGGGCTCCCATTTAAATTAATTCAAAGACAGTTTCCCGTGATGCCAGCATTTGCAATAACTATTAACAAATCACAAGGACAAATTCTAGACAGAGTAGGAATATTTCTACCTGAACCTGTTTTTCACATGGTCAGTTATACATTGCTTCTCTCAATTCGAAGAGCATGTAAATACTTCATCACAAGGGAAATTAGTCAAGTACTCTGAAAGTATTTTCACTCTTAATGTGGTATACAGGGAGATATTAGAATAAGTTTAATCAATTTATCACTCATTGTATCAGTGTTGTTTTTACATCATGTATTTATATCATGTCTTTGTTGTTCTATCATGTTGTGATTATTAACAAATTTATATATTATTTTCATATACATTTTACTAATTTTCTTTCATCTCTGACACTTCTATTATAGAGAAAGGGCAAATAGCAATATTAAAATATTTCCTCTAATTAATTCCCTTTTAATGTGCATGAATTTTGTGCACCGAGCCACTAGTATAAATATAAAACATTAATCCAAAAATTTTAGAATACATATTATTTTAAGGTTCACCATTCAACATTTACCAAAACTGACCATTTAATTGATCACAAAATTGCAAAGATTGAAATAATATGGAGTATGAATTAAGCCAGAAATCAATTACATAAAGATAAAAACAATTTTCCAAATTCTTATAATTTAAGGAACACACTCTGAACGATCCATGAGGCAAGCTAAATAACAGTAGACTTTAGAAAATATTTTGAGATAAATTCTAATGGAAATACAACATATCAAAAACAGAATATTGTGAAAGCAAATATTTATGGGAAATTTATAGCTCTAAATATATTAAAAATTTCACAGGAAGATTGGTATTAATATTCCCAGGAACCAGGGGGGAGGGGGAGTGTTGAAGCAGCCTTTCAAACATTGGACAACTGGCAGCAAAGGAGGGATGACTGAGGGAGGGAAACAAGGTGACCCTTCAATTGCCCTGCCTGCCTAGATTTAAGCGCTGGATGACATTGCAGGAGGAGAAGCTGAAGCAGAGCAGTCTTTCTGAGGTAGGAAGACCAAGACAAGTTGAGTAAAACTGAGATGGCTTGAATTTTCAGGGCAGAGTATCAGTGAAGAAGAAGGTGTGTAGATAAAAAAAAAAAAGTCCAGAAATCAGCATACAGATCCCTTTATGTTTATTATTGAACACTAAGCTTAACAATGCCCAACACTAGCACAAGAATGGGAAACATTTAACTTCCATCCAGCCATAGTGGAAAACCCTCACTCAGAACTCCTGACATTCATTGGGATCTCAGGAAGGTTACACCTTGTGTAAGTAGGGTTAAGCTAGCCTGATGGTAAAATCTACACTAGACATGACAAAAAACAAAACAAAAAACAAAACCTTACAAACCAACCCCAGCAGTATGAAGTTGATTCACAAGTAACTATCTGTCAGAACAAAGTCCCTATTGGTCAGAACAAAGTCCAAGTGTGTTATTTCAGGTCCTCCAAGACGCACATGCAAAAATAGATTTACAAGAGATCTATTTGAGGAAATGCCTGTTAGAGTTGAAATAGGAAGCCAGAGGAGGAAGTCTTCAGACAGATGTATGTCTAACCCCTTTGGAAGAAAGAAGTTGGAAGTAGCCAGAATCTCAGACTGCAACACAATTCCAAGAAAGTTAAGGGTCAGGCTGATGAAAAAACTCCCAAGCCAAAGTTGCCCCTTAAAGGAGTCCCCTCGCACACACAAATGGGTCTGCATCCATGTACCCGCTCTGCTAATTATTCTGATGGAAAAGCCTCATGGGAACTGTAACCTTGGCATGAAAATACTAGTGTTTTCAGAGGGCAGCAGACAGGGCTCTCAGCCAATTGAGCTTCCCTCAGCAGAAGACCTGGGTGGTGCACTTGCAAGGCTGCCATAGCCCATCATTCTACTGAGCACTATTCAGGGAGATAGGCCTCCGTGATTCCTATAACAGGCCCATTTCCTTGAGCATAAACTTATCATAGGGACGTTGGTTAGTAGGATGAACTACATCCATTTTCACTGATCTCAGGACTGCAAGTGGTTGATCTCAGGACTGCAAGTGGTTCTCATCCTCTTCCTCCTCCACTATCCCACTTACCAATCACCTCAGGAGTTCTTGGTGGTTTACCTGGTCATGTGATGCAAACTTTCATCTCTCAGGGGTCTGAAACGTTAGTAACCACATCCTTCTTGGACTGAGTTTGCCATGTGCATCTGATCAGTTATAGTGGGACAAAGGAGCAACAGGAGGAACCAAGTGGCTCACGAGGGATCCACACATACCCCTCCCTCTCCCACTGTGGAGGAGCCCAACCTCCTGCCCATGGTGGTCAATTACTCTGTGGATATGGTGACTCCTCATTTGCACATCCCTGGGCACAAGGAATACAAAGTGCTCTAGTGGCAACCACTTCTTGTGGTTCAGTGAGACCCGCTACAGCCCCTGGGAAGAGTATGCCCCCTGTGGGAACCAAGACCTCTAAGTTTACAGAGGGCAGAGTTGCAAGAAAGCACAAATGCTTCCAATAAAGTCACTGGGAGTGTTGTAAATGAAGCCACTCCTTTTTTCACTGTATTTGACTCTCATAATCCTTTTGTACTAGAAAGTTCCCAATTTAATGAATCCACTGTATTCATAATGTTGCCCCAAAGCTCATACTTTAACTGCCTTTAGAAGACCATCATAGCATTCCATGAGTGGTTCCAGGTACGAAGCTGCAGTTCTGTGTGTGATAAGACCAGGGGATCCCATGGCCATGTGCCCACTCTTGCACCTTCATCATTATGAATTGGTTGAAAACTGTGTAAGTCCTTTATAGTGATGCTGGCTGAGGCTCTGCAGGTAATAAAGGCAAACTCATACCTGGACTAGGCTCTATCCCTGTAAGAACAAACTATTGGCCCTTCCAGGATAAAAGAGGCCCATTAGAGTTGAGTTGCAACATGAGACCATTTAATCTACATGAAGAACGGTGCCACACTGAGGGCTCAGTGATGGTCTCTGTAGCTGACAGCATGGACATGAGACTGCATTAGCTAGCTCAGCCTTAGTAAATGAGAGTCCATATGTTGAGCCCACTTATAACTTCCAGCTCTGCCACTCCAGCTACTTCATTCATGTGTTCATGTGTCAGTTCAGGATCTGATAACAAAGCCTGGCTGATAACAATCTCCACTGGCCAAGTGCTAAGTACCCCATCCATGATGATTGCCTTCTAGTGGGCGTTAAGGTGTGAAATAAAAATCTTAAAGCTCTATGTCCACTCCCATATGTCTGTCGACATACCTCTACACCAGACTTTGTTGTAATTTTCCAGTCTTTTTCCACCCAGACCCTGAACAAATTGCCAAGCCATTAGCCACTGCCCGGGAAAGTATACATATTCTCACCTAGAACCAGTTCTCCACACAAAGCAGATGACCAGGTATGCCATTCACAGCTCTGTTTACTAGAAATATTTGCCCTTTCTATTGTCCTTCAAGGCCACTCATGGACATAGCTATAATGTAGCCAATTGTGTCTGATCCTCTTTCCAAATTGGGATTGAAAAGAACACCTTCACCAGATCATTGGGTACATACTATGAGCCCTTATTTGTCGGTAGTAGCGAACGATACCACATCTGCACAGCACCTGAAATCAGGGCTAATACTAGGTAATACCTGCACTAATCCATAGCCATTCTGTCCATTTTCTTCAAAGCCCAGACTGGCAAAGTGAATGGAAAAACCATGATGACCA